TTATCTGCTGCCTACATTAACCACTAAAATTCACACTAGGCCTGCCATGTGATTTAACTTCAGACACAGCATTCATTGAGACATTAAAGTCTTACAACACCCCTTTCACCACAAACTCTGAGCAGGTTTAAATAAGCAATGCCTCTGAGTAAATGTAGCATTTGGAGCAGATTTTTTATTGTCTTCATCAAAACCAGCCAGCCACAGTGCAACCAAAGTTCCAATAAGCCCTCTGCATCTGCAAGATTCAGCTATGTTCCAAGTTAAATATTTCCATCTTATTGTGTACAACATTCAAAGAAATGAAGGTATGCAGATCATAGAACGCTAGCCCATAAATTTTCAACCATAAAACCTACAGCCTGAAAAAAGTTAAGCAGATCTGTACTCTTATACTACTTGATTACCTGTCTCCATGATGTCTCTCTAGCTTGGTTACCACCTCAGATATTCCTTTAGAAATAACAGACTAAAGAAGTTTTCAGTATTTGGAAAAGAATGAAATTGCTTGACAGGTTTAATATCAGCTGACAGCGAGGAGCCCAATACTGTTGACACAAGAACTCAAATCTCCTTGTCAAGGAAAGTATAGTAGTCATCCTCAATTCTAAAGGCTTATAGTACATTTTTTAAAGTACACTTTTTGGCAGCCTCTCAAACATTCAGCACAGATAAGAGCAAGGGTGCTTTTAGATGTTTTTGCAACTATATTGAGAAAACTTTTTTGAAGCTTCATAACTGAATGTTAATTTAGTACTAAACCATTTTTTTGCACTGCAGCAACAAGAAGCAAGCCCACTACTGAACTCTTTCCTATATTCCATTTTTAACACACTTTCCCACAAAAATAATCAAATTTCCAAATTTAGGAGTAAAACTGCAAGCAAGAACTCCAAAAACTCTGAAGGTAGCTCTGGTTGCAGCAGTTTGCAAAGCTTATGATGGCTAAAATCAGAGTGCTTCTCCTGAGAGAAAACTACTGGTCTGAAACCTCCTTAGGGAAAAAGAAAAGGAGTACTTGTGGCACCTTAGAGACTAACCAATTTATTTGAGCGTAAGCTTTCGTGAGCTACAGCTCACTTCATCAAATGCATCCAAATAAATTGGTTAGTCTCTAAGGTGCCACAAGTACTCCTTTTCTTTTTGCGAATACAGACTAACACGGCTGCTACTCTGAAACCTCCTTAGGGAAGAGTGTCTGAAAGTGTCAAGGAAACTAATGCAAGCTGTTTGTACTAATGAGTTTGAGCTGCTGGCACCACAGCTACCTCAAGAGTTTCACTCCCTCTGCAACTGTCCTCCAGCAGAGTGGAGTGATATAAATCACTCAGTTTTATGAAGCCTCAAAACAATTTGAACATTTGTACTATTGCACATTTAGAAGATTAAAATTTATAATGAACTAAATTACAAAGGTTTTCTTTTTAAAAATAAACATTACTGTTAGGGTAATTTATTTGAATTTTACAAAATTGCAGAACTTGATCCTGCAAATACTTAAATACTTTACTGACATGAACTCACTTAAAGTTAAGCACGTACACAAGTATTTGCAGTATGAGACAAAAACTGTATTTGTATTAAATATTTAGAGGTATAAAATTTGTTACTTCAAAACAAACAATAGCATCAATGTTAATAATGAAAAGTTATTTAGACTTACAATACAATAAAGTTAATATGAGCTTTTTATATATATACACACAAATAAAAAAAATCTAAAGTTAGGCTCCTAAACCCATATTTAAGGCATTTAAGGGTAGGATATTCTAAAGCATGTATGTAATTCAGGAGTATAAATCCCATTGACTTCAAACCCTGATGGAGAAGTATTAGCGTGGTTGAAATATTTTAGCATTTCTGACTTATAAAAGTTCAATATAACCAAAGATGGCATAGGCTGCAATTACAGTATGGGGTATTTGCTTATCAATTCTGTGACTGAATGTGTGTTCTTACAGTAAAGATGTTAACAATGCCCTGGACTTATCTTTTTCAGTATAGATGAACATTTTAAATATGAAGCTTCTTAATGGACAAAATTTCCATGTAAAATCTGAAATTCTACTAACAATTAGGAAGTTAAAGAAACATACAATAATCTACTTTAGTAATTTAAGATTGTAAAAAGGGAAGAATGTAAAGAACTAGCAGCACAAGTATTTTTTAAAAATTTTAGGGTTTTTTTAAAATTATGATTTTATCTAGTTTGTCTTCCAGTACAAGCCAAGCGCTGAATCTCACAGGAAGAGAGCAGTTCTCATAGCAGAACACATTACATGACTAGCTGCTCTGTGTTGTAGGAATTTAAGTAAGTAAATGGTTAGAAAAAGTTCTGTAATATTGACCCAAAGAAGCAGGTTTTCAGAAGAGATTATCTTCTCAACAGGTTGCCACTTCTTTGCCCCTTCAAAAGAAATTTAACGTAACAGGAACAATAGGCTTGCTTTTTGCACAGGCATATTATGGCACTAGTATATATAGAGTGCTAAATAAACGTAAGTCATTTCTGGCATGCAGTTTTGGAATCACCAAAAACATTTCTATCGCTGTCTCAGAAATATGCTGTCTGCACGCTACTCTTCAATTAAACATTCATATATAAAACATGATACTAAGGATGAAAGATGTTCTCTTGTTTACTGAGGTCTATCCAAGTTTAGCTGCATGAGTTTAAAGGATTTTTTCACCAGCTCTTCCTGAGGCTAACACTACATAAGCTCCCCTAGCTATAAATGGGGAATAAACTTCCTATATGTATACACAGAGTTTTCCCCTTTATATGCAATTACTCAACTCTAATTATACTATGATATTCTCACATTCCCTAACCCTAACACTCAGGCAACAAAAGCAGATTCTCCCAGCATCCTAAATGTCCAAATTGATATACTACCCTTAAAATCTAGCTAACTTGTTACTAAACTAGAGATCTCCTCATGAAAGATGTACTCTCATAGGAAAAACTGAACCTCTGTATTTTCACATTTGCATCAAACAAAAAAGCAGTACCACTTAACCCATCAGATCATTTAAAATAGGCCAGTGATACAGTACTAGCTTAAAAGTGCAAGTCAAATAGCTTCTGCTACTGTAAATGACATAAGTCCACATTATAAAGCTAAACGATTACACAAGCTACTTCATACTATAGCTTTATTTTCATTCTGAACTGACCTTCACAAATAAACCAGATCTAGTTTCTTGCACATCAGTTCTGAAGTTGGTAGCCGGAGAAACCCAAATCACTAGATACAATTCCGAAAAAAACTGAGAACACAGCTCACTAAAAATTTTACAATAATAAATGCATAAAACACCTCTCCCCAGCACTGAAAAACTGCATAGTTACAAAGTCAATATAAACTATCTAATGATTTTACATTTTATGATCTCTCAATTGTACACTTCCGAGAAGCGTCCTATCCAACATCTGCACCACCCCTGACTTATGTTGTCAATATCAGGATATGAGCGTAAACTGTCTATGGAAGGGATTGGGTTCTTTTTTCATACAGCACAGACACACTGTAGGTGCTTGATTAATCACCGTAAAATAGACAGAGTATCTTAAGCGAAAAGGGGAGGGAAAAGACTCTAGAAACAAGGTACCACTGGTTATACTAAACTACATCAGGTGTTTAAAGTGGAAAGGGATGATTTTTTTTTTTAAAAACAAAACACAGTCCATAAAATGTCATTAAAGATACTAAACTTTTTAAACATTTCAACCCACCCAATCCTTTTCCCATAACATACTCTATGAGCCCAGAACCCATACCAATGCAATTCAGTACCGGCATAACAGGGTTACAGAGCTCAACCCAGTGGACGCACAAGGCTAACTCCACATTAAGATCACGTGAACAAACAAGGCAGGCAGTCAATGCCATGACAAATCAAGGTGCATCAGACCATCTTTCACAAATCAATGCTTGCACATTAGAGCATCTCCTCTATTCAGTGCATACACACACCCCAGCATCATTCTCCTGATTCATCGCGCATACACCACTGTCAACAAAGCATGTGCCAGTTGTCATTCCCAGAACAATAAGGCTCAGGTCATCCTCTGAAAAAATGCACACCCCTCATACCCTCAGTGCACACACTACCTCCCCCACTCTTCCTTAGATCACTTCTACTACACCCAGACCCAAAACCTCAGGCACAATATATAAGAAAGAGTGCACCTATAATACTGTTATGCTTAACCATTTCATTCTTACAATGCAGGTACCAAGACATTCACAGACCCCTGAGCTGCACACAAGACAGCTCCCCACAAACGGAAGCATGCACACTGCACGATTTGTCCTGGGATCATCAAGGCAGTGTGCCTTATGGAGTGATTGAAGAAACTAGAAAACATGGCCCACAGCCCGAGAGTAGGAATCACCAGGGGGAGAAAGAGGAGGTGAATACATTTTCCCCTCCCCGCATAACAACTCCAGAGCCAGCAGCAGAGGAGGGAAGGGGATGCATGTAGCAGCCCCCACGCATCCCTGCCGAGCTGGGGGGCATGCACACCCAGTGGGTGGCGGATGCACAGGTGACAGCGGGGAAGAGGTTGCACCTGATCTCTCTATTGCCCCACACGCAATGCCGCCGCTCCCGGGAAGGAGGACGGCGAGACCCGGGCCCACCACCGAGCGAAGGGAGGGGATGCGCGGAAATGTAACCCCCCCCCCCTTGCTCAACGCAAGAGGCAGCACGAGAAGGTTTACCTGCTTCGGGCAGCCCAGCCCCCCACCTGCCCGGGCTGCAAACAGCCGGTGCAACCCCCCCCCTCCCGCCCGTACCACCCCTCCGCCCCCAAGGTGCAGCAGCCGGTGCACGCCCCGCGCACCCTAGGGTGCCCCCCCTGGGGGGCTTCAGCTGCTGCCGCCTCCCGACTCTGCCCAAGTTCCTTCCCCCACCGAGGCCGGGCCTAGCGCTGCCAGCCGGCTGCCCCCAAGGCCCGACCGGGGTCCCCTGCCGGGCGGGCGGCCCGTACTCACCCAGGCCGAGCCCCTCTGGGCCACCTCCGCCGCCGTCCATGCCGGGCGGTGGAGGGGAGGAGAGGGGAGGGAGGGGGGCGGGCGCCAGGGGCCCTCCCTCCCGCTCAGCCCCCGAAGCCGCCGCGGCGCTCGCGTAGCTGCCGCCTCAGGCTCAGGCCCAGGCCCCGCCGCCGCCGGACGCGGCTCCCGCTCCCCTCAGCCGCCGCCGCCGCAGCGCTACGTGGCCGCCGCAGCCAGTCTCGCGACTCAGGCTCGAGCGCGAGCGATGAGGGGGGAGGGAGGGGAGGGGGGGGAAAAAAGGGAGTGAAAGGGAGCGCGCGCGAGGCGCCTCGCGCCGCCTTTTCAGCCTGTCGCGCGCGCAGCCCCATAGGCGGCGGCGGCGGCGGCGGCGGGAGGATGGAGTTGGCGCATGCGCCGTAGGGCGGCCCTGTGCTCACCTCTTGCCAGCAAGTGAAGTCCAGCAGGAGGGGAGGAAGCGGGCGCAGGGGGTTCGGTGCACACGTGAGAGGCTCGCCCTGGGGGCAAGCTGGGTGTTGGAGAGGGGTAGAAGTCAGTGCTCAGAGAGGGGGGTGGATACTGAGCTCAGCAGGGTGAAGGGGGGGGTCAGGAGTGGAGTGGGGTCATGCTGGGGGGATGGAGGGGGCGCCAGGCTTTGAAGGGGGATGGGTGCCATACTCAGGGGGTTGGAGTGGGTGCCAGGCATGGAAGGGGGATGAGTGTAGGGTTCAGGGGGGTAGGTGCTGAGCTCCGTAGTCTGGAGTGATTGCCTGGCTGTGGAGGAGGGTTGGTGGGCTAATGATTATTGCTAATGATTAATACTCTTTGCACTCTTAAGAAACCTAAAGCTACTGTACTATACAACTACCGCAAAGATGCAAAAACCTGCAAGTCTTGCCATCGTAAAATCTGGGCCACTGAGACCACAGAATCCTGTAGCATGGTTAATAAGGGCAAGCACTAAAGACAGAAGCCACAAAATTGCAAAAGTGTTGCATGCAATTGTTGCAAACGCAGCACTGTTTGCAGGCATATGTGATTTCATTTTTCTGGGATCCCTCTGTTGCTGCATGGAATCCTGCAACCAGGGGGGCTATGGCAAAACTCCAATAAGAACAGATTTCAGAGTAACAGCCGTGTGAGTCTGTACTCGCAAAAAGAAAAGGAGGACTTGTGGCACCTTAGAGACTAACCAGTTTATTTGAGCATAAGCTTTCGTGAGCTACAGCTCACTTCATCGGATGTAGCTCACGAAAGCATATGCTCAAATAAATTGGTTAATCTCTAAGGTGCCACAAGTACTCCTAATAAGAACAGAGTCAGACACACTGCTGGCACCTGCGTGCGCAGTCTCTCCTGCAGCAAGATTAAAAAATACTTTCAAATGCTTTCTATGCATGCATTTCTGTGCCCCCATCCCCCCAGTTCCTTCTTAGTATTGGCATGCCTACACATCCTCGAACCTCTTATGCTGGAGAAAGAGGCTAATGCTGACTGATTGCAGCACGGATAAAGCAGTCATGTAAATGATCCCAGGCTGCCTAAACCAACCGTTACTCTATTGTCCTCAGCTAGGTAATTACAGTGAGATTTCACTTAATTAAAGTCATCTGAGCTGGGCGAGCTGCGGCAATGCTCTGAGAGCTTTGAGGAACTGTGGCTAACACCAACCCACGCATAGATTGTCTTTTGGCTCTGAGTAAAAGTGACTGGGTCCTGGGCTTAGTTGCTCTTCAGCAGCATGAGGGTTTATATTCGAAACAGCAGTGACCCCTGTCTGTCAGCTTCACTGAAAGGTGCATGGAAGCATGAACCTCTAGCATAATGCAAATGCTGCCCAATTTTCATTTAATCAAGGGCTTGTTGCACTTAAGTGTCCTAACATTGATACGGAATATATGAAGCATAAAGGTACATGTAGAGAGAGATGTGGTCTGGTTACAGGACTGGGAACCGGAAGCTCTCCTGAGCTTTCTCCTAGCTCTGCTACTGACTCATTGTATGGCACTGGCCAAGTCATTTGATCTGTCTGTATCTGTTTTCCCATCTCTACAATGGAGATAGTAATATATTACCTACATTCCAGAGGGCTTATGAAGAAGAATGTTTTTAATGTGCTTTGAAGGCAAGTGCCAAATATTAGTAAGTGTTCTGATTGTTTCCAGTGTTGTGGTAGCTGTGTTGGTCCCAGGATATTAGAGGTGGGTGAGGTAATATCTTTTACTGGACCAGCTGCTGTTGGTGAGAGAGACAAACTTGCAAGCTTACACAGAGCTGTTCTTCAGGTCCTGAAAGACCGCTTGTCTCCCTCCTCAACAAAAGTTGGTCCAATTAAAAAATATTACCTCATCCACCTTGTCCCGCTCTATGTTCATGTAGCACTCTACCCCTGCAAGGTTTGGTTCAGATTTCATTGACTGAGAAGGCTTTGGCCCCTCCATCAATAACAATAACACCCTGCTCGACCTCTCTAGAATAAAGTGATCCTCCATTTTACAGATTGGGAAACTGAGGCAAAGATGTGGTCACTCAGGAAGGCTGATGGTCCTGAGTTTTGTTTTCCTTGGTGTAAATCAGGAGTAGCTGCATTGACCTCAGTGGAGTTACACTGATGTAAAACAGTTGTGGTAGGAAAGTCAGGGCCTCTTGTGTCAATGCAGTTAGGATCAGACTTCAGTGGAGTTAATCCAGTTTGACACTGGTGTGACTACGCAGAATTAGGCCCCAAGAATTTAAGATCTTCAGATCTAGCTGCCTCCAGGTTAGATTTGGTTGCAGCTCAGCTGGAAAATCACCTAACCTTGCTCTGCCTCAGTTTCCCTGTTGGTAAAATGGTAATAACGTGTAACTTACTGGGATGTTGTGAGGCTAAGTTAATATTGTAATGTGCATTGACATTCTCAGATGAAAAGTGCTATAAAAGGGCAACATATTGTATTGTGAAGGCCGCTATGAAAGTACAAGTATTTATCTCTCTCACAGAGGCATTGTAAAACTTTTTAGGTTTGTAATTGAGACAGAGAGAGATTCTATGATTTACCCATGTCATTGGCAGTCAGCAAGAAAAAACAGTAGTCTTGATTTGCAGTCTGCTGCTCCAAACCCTACCTCCAAGTTTCTCAATCTTTTTCCACCTAGAACCTCCTCCCCGCAGAATTCTGCCTCTAGTGGATAGCACACTGGACTGCAACCCCAGGGACCTGTGTTCTATTCCTGGCTCTGCCCCTGGCCTTCTTGGTGCTCTTGGACAAGTCACTTGACCTTGCTGTGCCTCAGTTTCCCCACAGGTAAAATGAAGATAATGATACTGACCTCCTTTGTAAAGTGCTTTGAGCTCTACTGGTGAGCAGCGCTAGATAAGAGCTATGTATTCTTTATAGCACTCTTCCATGGCTTCTTACTGTGTCCTGAATTTCCCAGTGCTTTGCGGGAACAGGGTCACTGCAGGAAACTAAGGGGTGGCTCTTTGGTGTTGGTGGGGCTATTGCTTGGTGGGTGGGTGGCTGCTGGCTACAGGTGGCTGGTGGGAGATATAGGGCTGGAAGAGGATGCTGGATTGCTGTGGAGCTGTTTTCTTCCTGCTCCTGCATCTCCTGGTGCTCAGGGAGGCCCTGCTTTGAGAGGCTGTGAAGCCTTTCCCATGGCCTTTAGACACACGACTTCCCTTGCCCCAGAGCTGAACACAGTGTAGGAGGGGCAAGAATTCCACTGTGACCAGGTTAGGGGGTAAAAGAGGGTAGGACAAGGGAGTGGGAGCAACTGGAAAGGGGAGGGTTCAAAATGATTAACCTGAGCTGGTTCCTGGTAGCATTTTCCCTGTGGTTCAGCAGTTGGGTTGTGACCCACAGTGAGTGTCGCCTCTGACCATGTATCCTCTGGTCCTTGGGGTTTTCTTGTATTGCCTTGTCTGTTGTGCACAGCAGGTGAAGTTTGGTGGGAGGTTCTCTAAGCAATTCTTTTTGTATGTAAATTACCTACAAACAGATTTGACCTGGTCACAATTAGTACAGCATGAAAATGACTCAGAGCTTTAATACAGGGTTACAATAAAGCTCTCCTGAGATCTTTCATTTACAACAGTGATACTCAGAGCTCAGTGGCTCAGGAGCCGAATTAGCGATCAGCATTATCCAAAAGAGCCACAGAAGTGTGAATTAATTGTTTCATTTACTATAGTACTATATATTCATATTTAAATGGTATGACGTGGAAATATTAATAAATATACAAAGTTCTCACAGCAAAATGACTGACCAAGTATTATTATTTTAATCAATTTCAGTTGGTGAATAGCATAGTTAAAGCATCCTGATCGGTTAATAATTAAATCACACAGTGCTTTAATAGCATGTGCTGCAGGAGACGCATTAAAGAGCCCCTTGCAGCTCGTGAGCCTCAGTCTGAGTATCACTGAATTAAAACCTCAAATAAAAGGGACAAGTAAGTTGGAGAGCCCCCCGTGGCATACAGCCAGCATAGCTGACTTTTGTGTCTCACCGCCTACTGCACTCGCTATAGGCACATGGCTGCAGTATCTTTGCTCCCATCGGTTCCTGGAAGTCATAACCTACCAGCTGGCTCAGTTCAGAGCTGTCCCCAGGCTGTTCTAATCTATACTGAGGCTGAGGTAGACCTAACTTGAGAGTCAGGGAGCCCTTGCTGTGGCCAGGGAAGAATCTCAGCCTAATAGAATCAGGGCTGCCTCTCTTGACCACAGGGAGAAGGCGGCTCAGGTGAAGGGTGGTCTGTCTTTGCAAGAGCAATACCTGCCTGTGTGAATTAATTCAATTATAAATAAACTCAGTGTGTGCTCCAAAATTACAACTGAAATGCAAAAATTTAGGAACCTGCAGCTTAGAGAGCAGGATGATTGAGATGGCTATGAGCAAAGAGATCTGCCTACTGGATTTGGTATCTCAGGGAAGGAAGGGTTTCTGATCTGGTCTTCCAGTTCAGGCCTGTTTCTCAAGAGAATGAAATACTTTCCCAAACATCTTATCTGTACCACAAAGGCTGAATGGTGCCCTATAGAAGATACCATTCTAGAGCAATTTGACTTTTCTCCTAGCCTTGGGCCCCTCTCCTGTACATCTCCTGCAGGCCCCGAGTGCCTTGCGGGACACTCTCTTTGTTAGTGATTGACCAATCCCATTGACGGTTCTCAGTTTCCCCAGTAAGAATCTCTCAGAGACATTGGCTGCCAAACTCAGTTCCTATTCCCACAAAGGACTCTGTTTTGGCTACTTCTGTTTTTCTCTTTGATCCAAGTTTTGACATGAAAAGACATGTCAGCCAGGAAGGAAAAAAAAACAACCAAACCCACACCTCTGCCTCCATATGAGCTTCTTCAACACATGGAGCTGCACGCTTGCCAATCAGCCACAGATCCTTATCAGCCCTCTGATTTCCTCATTGTCCTCTTCCCTCTACAGTCTCCCTTCACATCATTCATTGTACAACCTCTAGCGGTATGTAACCCGTACTGCAACCCCCCCAGTCCTCCGAAAGGGTATAAATCATAAGCCCCGACCACGTGCTCACTGAAGATCCTGTGGCACGGCTCAAGATATCCTGGGGCAATTCCAGTGTGGGTAATTATCTTCTACATTCCCCCTATGGTTTCAGATGGATATGACATAGTTCTGCCCTAGACTGTTGTGTAAGGGTCCCAAACAGCTGCTCTATCTCACCCCAGAGGTAGCTGCATTTCAGTGGTAGATGAAGTGCTTCCTGTGCATAGTTTGTTGATCAGCTCATTAAATCTGCAAAGCACCTTGGGATCTCATGGGATGAAAGGTGCTATAAAAATGTAAGTAATTATTAGGCTAGCATCATTAAACACGCCCTGGGATTTTTAATATTATCATACATTTATTATATATGAAGCATTTTTTTAAATTAAAGAATCCCGAAGAGCTTTACAAAACTTAACAAATTATAGCAGCAGCACGGAGGTGCAGCTGGCTCTGGGGTGGAAAGCAGTGACCAAACACCACGCAGTATACTGCAGAACAGGGTGGGAAGGGAAAGCCAAGCACGCTGAGGTAAGCTCCTACTTTTACAAGAAGTGCAATGGGATCGTAAACATCCCTGTGGCATAGGCAGGGTCTCAGTTTTGACACCTACCATCACCCAGTAAACAAAATGGTCTACACTTTATATCTACCTAGGAAGGAAAAAAGGTTGAGGTCAGCTCTGCTGGGATCAGAACTGATGGTGTCAAGGAGCCCAGGTGTCTCAAACCTAATGCTTAGACTGCTAAGCCATCCTTGCTGGCTGTCACTTTGGGAGAGGAAGAAGCTACAGACCCAGTATAATAATGGAAGCTCTAATGGATCAGTACATGGTAATTAAACTGTAAATTCACTGGGGCAAAGTGTGTCTTATCATATATGTTTGCACCGTGCTGGACACAGTAGTGATGCTCAGAAAATGAACAGTTATTCCCTGGGGGTCCGCGTGTGGATCTTTGGTCTAATATCACTTTTAAACACTTGAAAGTAAGCTAATGAGTCTGGGACTGTGGCAGCTGGACAGGGCTGGGAATGGGAGAGCTATTGTGTGAAAGGGAATCTGGCAGGGGTTGGGGGGAATTGTAACTTACAAATTCTCTTCTGTTGACTCTTTGTTAATATGTTGGTTTTTTGTATCTGTCTGTCTTGTCCTTATTGTAAGCACTTCAGGGCAGGGATGAACTCTTCTAAAGTTTTGACCAGTTATACCAGTATAATTATACCAATGTAGTTAACCTGATGTACTGGTATGACTCCACACACGGACACATTTTTTTTCTGATTTAAGTGGCTTTTGGGGGAGAGGGGTAAGCTTAAACCCCTTCCCAAGTAACAAGCTAAACCAAAACCAAGCCTGCTTATACTGGAATAAGTGTCCACACGGGGGTTATACCGCTATAACTACAGTGCTTTAAAATCACATCCTACCTTATACCAGTATAACTTCCCTGGTTAGACAAGCCCTAAGGCCCAGATCCTCCAAGGTATTTAGATGCCTAACTCCTATTGATTTTAATGGGAGTTTGGCCCAGATTCTACAAGGTATTTAGGCACCTAAGAGTTTGTAAAGCACCTAACCCAATGGCTCCAATCCAGGGTGGAGTTTTTGGGGTAAGAGGAATACAAAGAATCCAAAGGTTCTTGCTCCCCACCATATAGAATTAGCCTCTGGAGTCCTGTCCCCTCTAAAGAACTTGTTTGAATTAATCTCTCTTGGACTTGCTCATTTTGCTTAGACTTAACCCCTGCTTCCTTCCTGTTCTTGCCTCTCTTGAACACAAGAGTATTTTTAACCTAGTACTTTGGTGGCATGTTGAGTGCTCTTCTGTCCAGCCTTGTCCCACCCTTCCTGTTGCAGCCACCACTCTTTGCCCTCCAGTTTAGTTATAACTGAGAGGACAAATTTTGCATCTAGCCAGTGGTACATGGACCCTGAGCCTTCCGCATAACCCTCCTGAACATCCATAGCTCCCCTCTGCTCCTGATGGACTCTGGGGCAGTTCCTAGGAGACTGGAGGGAGCTTGTTCCTTATTACGGCTGCTACCCATGGAGCTGAGAGTCAGGTCTCCTTGGGTAATGAGACCTTCTCTACTAATGTCTTGCTGTGTGACCTTAGGCATTCTCTGTTCGTCTTGCTGCACCACCATGGGTGTCCTTTCGACTTCGCCATTTCTGTGACCTTGAGCAAGTATTTCACAGCTGTGTCAAATGGGGATAGTGAGGCTTGCCTTGCAGAGTACCTCTACATCTAGAGATTAAGAAACATCAAGTTGTGCCATTCTTAACCATTGTAACCATGCAATCTTATTGTCACTCTCATCCTTCTCCCCATGCTCCCTATTGTTTGTTAGTCACTTGTCATGTTCGCATTGGTGGCCATCATGATAAAGTACGAGGGTAAAACTGCTAAATGGGAAAGACGGGGGACTTACAGTGGACTATTGGGTGTCTGTTTGCTTAATGAAACACAAAAAAGACACAGAGTATCTTCCTTCAATAGCCACGCTAGACTATATTCTCCATATTAACAGGTTCAAGCAGGAAATTGAAACCAGTGGCTATGTTTCTGAAGATGGAAGAGCCCACTGCATCTCCCCTTTGCTGTATGAAAGTGGCCTCATCCCCTTTGAGATTTCCAGGGATGGTGGGCTCACATTTCCTCACTCTGCAACTTGGTTATCAGGTTATCAGTCTATCTGTTGTTTGCATGTCCTTTCACATAGTCACCATATCATATGTTGGGGGGGGAGGGATAGCTCAGTGGTTTGAGCATTGGCCTGCTAAACCCAGGGTTGTGAGTTCAATCCTTGAGGGGGCCATTTAGGGATCTGGAGCAAAAATTGGGGATTGGTCCTGCTTCAAGCAGGGGGTTGGACTAGATGACCTCCTGAGGTCCCTTCCAACCCTAACCTTCTATGAATCTATGAATCTATGAAAAGCTGCCTCGTCAGTGGAAAGGTTTTTTTTTAATTAATTTCCTCTATCAATCCGGTGACACTGTCTCCCAAGTTGGGGTGAAGTGTCTTCTATCGTCCTGCAGCGCCCATCCTTTACAGCTCTGGTTTTGATTTCATGGGATGACAACACATCAGTGGCATTTTTACTTTGTTCTTCATCACAGCACTTTTTCTATATCTTTGGGTTTTATGCTGTCACCCATCACTGCAGTGTCTGGGCTTCTTCCACGTAAAGAGCTAGAACTAACTCGAGTGTTGCCCCTAACTTGAGTCCAGTCCACACACAAAATCCTTTCACCGGAGGGTAGGGGTGCTTTTCCACTCAAGAAGGCTGGCCTGCCAGGGGTGTAGGTTCCGTCAGCACAACTTGACAGCTGCTCCCCTGACTGCTCTGGAGTGTGGATGCAGCTTAGCTTTGCTGGAGCGCTGCTAGTTCTCCTATGCCTTCCCACAATTCCCCCTGTGTGCCCAGAAAGGACAGACACGTTATCCCCCAAGTCACTGGGAAAGAATTCATAGAGTGGTTCAGCTTATTGCCGTACAAAGAACCCAGGGATGTGTCCTCACATGAGGGGCCCGACACGAGTGAGTGCCGCGTCAGTGTGGAGACGGCAGCTCCAGGGTTATCGCTCAGTGGGGCCGTTCTCGCTTGAGCTTGGCTAGCTCGAGAGGAGCAACCCCTATGCAAATCTCTCGAGTCCCCTCTGCAGCAAAGGCAGACCAAAAATCAGTAGCGAAGGCTCTAGTGGAATGACTCCTCTCCCTTTTGGGGGTGTGAGCTCTGCTTGGGGCGGGGTGTTTTCCTTTGTTTCCATCTGGGTTGTTTTAGGCTGAGTAGATGTGGGTGTCAGTGGTGTGAGAGTCATTTGTGCTATGGTTAAAAGGCTTTCTTGAAGAGGAAGATTTTGCAGTATTTTCTAAAGATGATCAGATTACTATTTACTGTTTGTATCACCATAAAGCCTAGGGCAGAGGTCCCCAAAGTGTGGGGCGCGCTCCTGAACATTCAGGGGTGTGTGGCAGGGCCTGAGCTAGCCCCCACAGCGGTGGGGAGGGAGCCTGGCAGCAGCTCCACACCTGGCCATGCAACCACCCTCAGCCCCTGGCAGAGGCTCCATTCTCAGCTATGCTCCTGGCCCCATATGCAACCCTTACTCCTGTTTGTGGTTCCCCCCACCTTTCCCCCGGGAGCCACAGCGCCGCTGCCGGCTCTGGGGAGAGCAGATAGGGGAAAGTGGGGGCACGACCCTGAAAAGTTTGGGGACCACTGACCTAGGAGCTTCAGTCAGAGACCAGGACCCCGTTGTGCTAGGTGCTGTACAAACAAACACAGAACACACAAACAGTCTCTGCTCCAAGGGGCTTACAGTCTGCTAGGATCGTGTCATCTCCTATTCAGGTTTCATCCAGATCTCATTGACTGAGAAGGCTTTGGCCCCTCCATCAATAACATTAACACCCTGCTCGACCGCTCTAGAATAAAGTGATCCTTCATTTTACAGATTAGGAAACTGAGGCAAAGATGTGGTCACTCAGGAAGGCTGATAGTCCTGAGTTTTGTTTTCCATGGCGTAAATCAGGAGTAGCTCCATTGACCTCAGTGGAGTTACACTGTTGTAAAACGGTTGTGGTAGGAAAGTCAAGGCCTGTTCTATCGATGGAGTTAGGATCAGACTTCAGTGGAGTTAATCCTGACTGACACTGGTGTGACTATGCAGAATTAGGCCCCAAGAATTTAAGATCTTCAGATCTAGCCACCCCAGGTTAGATTTGGTTACAGCTAGGTTCAGAGCTTTGCTCACTCCCTTCTCCCCCACTTTTCCAGTGCAGTGTATTTCTCACTCTCTGCACCTCAGCGTGGTGGTGTTTTATACTGCCACTGTGAACTACTCCACCAGCTACAAAGCAACGATGAACCAGACCCTAGGTCTTGCCTTACAGTCCCCAGCCCTAATGGCTATAAAACATACCCTTCAGCTGTGCTCTATGATACACGGTACAGCAAACCCAGGGAACATCCTTACCTGGATAGAGTTCAGCTCTGGCAGCTGCTGCAACAGAGAAGAAGCATGTTTTCTGTCTGACGGCTAAGTTCCAAGTTACAACCGCTCCGATGATGTCTTGCTGTATGGTTACGCATGGTCTTCTCTTCACAAATCAGGTGAACTGGTTATCTATTTTAAAAAATCAGGGGGGGCGGGAGGGGAGGTGAGGCAGAGAGGAAATCAGGCAGTTTCCTGTTTGTTTGTGCTGAACAAAAGTGTGTTTGGTTGTTCTGAGTGATAAGTGAGCCTGCGAGCAGCCTTCGAGAGACTAGAGCACAGCTATGCAAATTAACATCAGAGAAATTATAAAGATGCAGACTGAAATCTTCCTCCATATGAAAAATCTCAACCATCAAATCATCTTGGGACACTTAAAACAAGGGAGAGAAGGGATGGGGACCTTCACCTTAGCTTGCACCCATCCTAGGTCAGCAGTGACTGGAGCCAGTGACCAGATGATTGCCCACAGGCAGCTTTTGTGAAATAAGTTTGGCAGTTCTCAGTCTAGTTCCTCCTTGGAAAAGCCCCAGTGCACTTGGCCCCAGTTGTCTCTTGTTGGAAGTCTCCGCTGGCCCAAGATATGGGGCATCCAGCTCAGGCCTGAGAGATGTTGGTGGCGAAATGCTGGGATTAAGCATACACTGCTGTCCCTGTTCTGTGGCTAAATAAATACAGGACCTTGGTCTTAAAGCAAATAGTTGGCGTAGCACTAAGGGCTTGCCGACCCACAGAAGTTGCCCTGACTTAACTTAAATTGGTTTAAAAACCGATTTAAGCTAAACCGCTGCAACTTGGTGTGTGGACACTCATGCTTACAGACACGAGCTAAACTGCTGTAAGCCAGGTTTAAACTGATATGAGCGTCTGTGCCCAATGTTGCACCAGTGTTTGAGTCACACCTGGTGGTGCAACTGTGCTTGTAGACCAGTCCTGCTAGGATAACTAGCTTCTTAATAGGGGGCCTAAGACAGAAATTCTCACAGAGAGAGGCCCCATTGTCCGCATGCCTCATACACCAGCATGTTTTAAAAACCAAATTCCAATTAGCCATAAATCCTCCATCTGATTGATTGATAGATAAGGGCAAAAGTGCAAAGTCCTGCTCCTAAATCCTCGATCCTGATTGGCTACAATAGATACGAATGCCACACAACGTCTGTCCCTCCTTCCTGATTGGCTCAGACCCCAACTGGCTACAGGAGAATGAGGTAGGTTTCATTTCACTTCATGCATCATCTGTGCTCTGAGTGCAGGATTGTTATTACTGGCAAGGCTGTCTGGGGCAGAAAGAACCCAGATGGACTTTCAAATCGCAGGAGAACTGATGTGTATCATTTTTTTGGCTTGTAAGTGGACCACATTTTTATTGAGGTCACCCAGTGGCAAGAACAATGAACGTAATACATTGTCTTAGCTAGCACTTCCCCGCCAAGAATCTCAAAGTGCTATACAGGCATAAACTAATGAATTCTCACAGTCCCCTCATTAGTTTGGTCAACATCATTAAAAATGGGAAGATGGAAACCAATGCCTAAGGTCAGTGGAATAGCTCTGGATCTCGAGGTCCACCTTGTTCTTTAACCCCCAGACCAGGGATTTCAAACTCAAATCACCACGAAGGCCACACGAGGACTAGTACATTGGCCCGAGGGCCGCATCACTGAAACCTTTTCACACAGCGATACAAAAGTATAGTCAAAAATGAAAAAAATGAAGAGTAATATAGTATGTTATTAAAAGTCAATGTATTCACTTTTTTAATACTGTAATGTGAAGAGGGGTTTTAATAAAATATAAACATCTGTAACTATTCCTTATGTGGTCAGTAACACTGATGATGATCTACACTAACAGTCTATCAACATCACTGTAATGGCAGGAACTTTTTAAAGTAACTATTTGTACAAAATACATTGCCACTTTTAACAAACATTTTCCCAACTACTCACAGCAAAGAATCATACATGCTGAACTTTGTATCTCAGACTGCTCGTCTAGTCCATGAGGCCCCACCCCTGTCCCGCCACTTCCCACCCTGTGGCCACCCCCATTCCAACCCCTGTCCCAAAGTCCCAGCCCAAACTCTGCCCCCTCCCTGCCCCTATTCCAACCCCTTCCCCAGATCCCCACCCCGGCCCTACCTCTTCTTCCCCTCTTCCCTTGAGCTTGCTACATCCCTGCTCCTCCCCCCCCCCCAAAATGCTAAGCACTGCCAAACAGCTGTTTGGCGGCGGGAAGCACTGGGAGGTAGGCGGAGGAGCGGGGACGCGGCACGCTGGGGGTGAGGGGAGCTTGGCTGCTGGAGTCGGCGCCTATGGCGGGCCACAGGAAATAACACTGCGTGTTTGAAACCCCTGGTCTTAAAGGCTTCCAGGCTAGCACCATCTACCAGTTCTACATTCATTTAAACAAATTGTGTAGAACGGATCAAATAAATGAGAGTACTGGGTCCTGGTGGATTCCTCTGCCTCTGATAAATTAACTGTAGGCAGCAGGACTCCAGCACAACAGGATTGGTGTAATCCCTGCACAGCTTAAAATTTCTCCTCTCCAGCTCTTGGTTTTATCATTTCTATCCCTCTATGGAGCAGCTGTGAGAAGATCCCAAGTAGATTCCAAGCCACAGTCTACTGTGGAATGAGAGGTGCTGCATTGGACGTGCAAGAACAACATGTTTTCAACACCACCTCTTTTCTTCCTGCTTGTGGATTCACCATCAGGCAAAAATCTTGCAGCTGGATTTGCTCCTGGACACTGGGTGCAAGAAACTTCCTGCAACTGAATTCACCACTAGGGATAAGGTGTGAGGCAGCTGTTGTGAGAAATATTGTATCTCCAGAATCAGCGTGCACAGGGGATGCTGCCATGTCGGGCATGGAAATTGGCAGGGGAAAGAAGGATTAAACAAGGAGCTGGCTATTGACGGTTTTGGAGAGCTGAGAACAGTTCCACACAGGCAGGACAGACAAGGTCTCCCACAATCCATAAACAAATCCTAGAATGGCACCTGCTAGTGAGGCGTGAAGAACCCTGCCACATGTATGTCCGCAGGAGCCCGAGCATCAGACAGGAGCCTGCACTTCCAGAGTAGATGCAGCTACACTGGTAGTGGTGGACGTACCAATGCAACATGCTTGGCAAGTACAGGTTTCACGTGCGAGTGCCCGGGCGTGGGTTCTCTGTGCTGTGTAGATGTGACCAAAGATACAACTAGAAAAGGAGGACTTGTGGCACCTCAGAGACTAACCAGTTTATTTGAGCATAAGCTTTCGTGAGCTACAGCTCACTTCATCGGATGTAGCTCACGAAAGCTTATGCTCAAATAAATTGGTTAGTCTCTAAGGTGCCACAAGTACTCCTTTTCTTTTTGCAAATACAGACTAACACAGCTGTTACTCTGAAAGATACAACTGTTGTAGCTACCAAAAGCGTGGCACGAGATGTATTAAACAGGGAAAAGGGCAGCATAGCTTGAATGAGACGCCTTAGTAGAGTAGCAGTAAACCAGTGAAATGAGCAAGGGAGACTGGTTTGGAAAAGCCTGCCCTGGCAAGGCGTCTGGTATCACGAGTTTAATGGGATAGCCTGGCACAGAAGGGGTTAAACAGGCAGCTGAGCACCCAAACTTTGTTTGCACATGACCATGTGACAGATTTCACACCAGTGGTTTGCATGTTTAGTGCTGGCCCAGCACTTTCTCAGTATTGTCTTTGCCCTCAAGGTCTGGGAAGAACCTTTCTCCTCTGAGGGTACCTTGACCTATTTACTCACCTGCCCTGATTGCAAGGGATACACCTTCTTTCTTTTCTTTTCCTTCCCTGGCCACAAGTTCTGCTCTGCTCCTAAGATTTATTGCTGCCATCTAGTGGTGCTAAAAGGACAAGGCCTGATCATGACTGCCGCCCCCGCTCTACCAACACAGTGCGGGTCTGTGAAAAACGTATTGTTCCCTCTGTAGATCTGTGCTTTTCGGTGAATGAAATGGCCTGTCCTGGCTGGAGGCTGCAGCCCTCATTTCCCATCTGGTGAAAGAGCCCCCCTGACTTTCAGCATCTAAACTATCTTCACAGATACCCGTAAGAAACTGGAGGAGCCATGGATTTTGTCCGAACACGATGTCGCTATCCGTGTCAGTCAGTGGGGTAGGTAGCTACGGGAGACTTTGGAGAAACAGAGAGGCATTTTTTGTTGTTGGTATGGAACAATAAACAGGAAAGATTCTGGACTGGGCATTGCTTTGAGCAACTTCCGTTTTTGTTTCTAGTATATTTTTAGCAATAGTGACGTGCCTGGAGTTCCCTCCAACATTCACATAACAGATGCACTGATGTGAGGTGGACACATACCTGGTGGAGAGACCAAATATGGCAGGGAGAAGGGAGTTAAGTCTTCATGGTTCGGTCAATCCCCTTTTCTGAGAAGGATGCCCATTAGTGGTGATAGTGGTTTTTGATTGCAGACACCTTATCTACTGAGAATTAACTAGAGGTCTTTCAACTTCATTTCAGCTAGCTCACCCAACCACCATCCATCTTTGGTCACCACTTACTCATGTTGGATTCTAGCACAAAATTACCTCCATGCTTGGCACCTTTGGATGATAGGCAAGTACCATTGTTTCCTCGCTGCGTAAGGCTGATCTCTCAGGAACAGGCTTCAAGCATGTTGGTGAGGCAAGATGGAGGAAGCTAGTGCTGCGACTTTCCAGGTTGCACCAGTTCTGCTGGTTAGTAGAGATCGGACTGCCTCCTTCAAGGGTGCCAGTCCAGCACCTCTAACTACCACTGCGTCAGTTCTTCTTTCATAACTTCCCAATGATTGCATGCACTCTGCTATGGCTGTCTCTCCACTAATACAGAATCCCTTTCTTAGGTAGGAAAGGGTAGAGACAGGTGGGTCTAGCAACTCAAGCCAAATTAAGCCTAGGGGGGGCTCCCATAAGACTCCTCAGTAGCTGGAGGAGGGTGTTAACAGAAAGAAGAGAGGGGAATAAGAAACAGTGTGCTTTAACTGGAGATCGGGGTAACAAAATAACCCACGTTGCACTGAGAAGCTCAAGATGTACATGCTTCTAACCTGTCCCCATTTTTTGACTTTCTTGCATCTTAGTCCTTGCTGGTGTTTCA